CATATTTCTTTTCACTTAATCATTATAGTGAAAACAGCATGAACATTTAAGTTCCTTGGATTCAAAATTCTGTACGAAAAGTTAATTATTGATGTACAGTAATTGAGTGACTCATGATATTTTTTAATGAACTACTCTGATATTCTGATACCATCGCCCTTCTAAAATGGCAGATATTAAAATATAGATAATGATGTTCTAATGAATGTGAAATATTCATGACAAACAGTGAGTTGGTTTCTTGTGCATTTTTTTTCAACAGCCCCTAAGTAGCTCCTAATCCTTTTCTTTGTACTTTAAAGTCACTAAAAAAAGTCTTAATAATTGAGAAGGCTATTGCCAAAGCTAACTGTGGTATATTAAAGGGAAGGTTTTGCACTAAGCTCTGGAGTATTTCTCTGAAAGTAGAGATTTGCTATTTAAGTATTTGGAGGAAGGTAAGAGTAACAATGAATGAGCAATTGACAGGTTTAAATATTCACATGTACCTTGCAATAATAAAACCATGCAGAAATTAAACAACAAAAAAAAAATGTCCTGGTACTCATGTGAGATGGTCAAATAAATGAAGGATTATTAAGCTATTGGTTGCTAGGAAAGTTATGTGATGTCATTAAAAGTTGGCAAACACACTTTTTATTTAGCCTACTCTCACTGTATTTAAATATAAAATATTCAGGTAAATAGATATTTTTTATTAAACATGTTCAGACATGTTATGACACACCTCTGAAACAAGAAAGACTTGAATCTGGACCTTCTGGCTCAAACACTACCACTGTGTCAGAAGAGCTCTAATATTCAGTTTACTATCCAAAATAAATAGGAAGAGATGTTCATGTATGAAGGAAATTATTGCTGCAAATTGCTACATTTTTATACTATTATCAAATGTATGATCCTTATCCATGAAGTAAAAAGATATTGCTGAGGAAAACAGTCAAATTTGTTTGACCAGTTCCAATTTAGTCCAAATCTTATTTAATTTCCCAGGAACTTATGTTTTTCAAATGTAAGAGCATCTTTGTTTTATTACTGGATTTCAACATATATGATTAGGGAACTATGAAGAAATGACAATCAAGGGTTTGATGGTCTTATAATTAATAGCTTACGATTTGTTTATTTGGGTGTAAAGTTATCCTTCAGGTAAGGACATGCTTAAAAACAGTATTACACTACAGGTACAACAGACCTCTAACAAGAATTTACACTCCAGTTACCAGTCTTAGACCAGGTTCTAGCTAGGCAGAACCATGTTTATGTTGCTTGGCTCCTGCCTGGCTGGAAATTTAACTATCCTATTCAGGAGAGAACTCTGCACATACCTGTATACATGCATAGGCATGGCTGTTTACTCAAAAGTTAGACGTTTAAATTGTCTGAGAACAGGAAGGGGAAATTTCTGCTCTCCAAAGATTTAAACTAAGTTCAGCTAAGTTTATAAAATTGTTCAACTCATTCCCTGGAATGCTTTGCAAAGCTGGTTTCACACTGCATTGGACTTCTAGTGGTGTGAGGTTACTTCCTCAAGGGATTTGCACATTTCCTTGCTGCAATTAGATTGGATCTTGACTTTGAACTAACACTGCCAGTTTAACAATACAATGACAAAACATAAAGGGTTGGGGATCTGTCACTGAGAAAAAGTGACAAAGGCAACTGTAGGTCCTAGAGGATTACATCTGAAGCGCATCTAGATATTTTCTAATCAACCTATTCAGAGGTGTTATTACACACCTCTGGAGCAGATGGTTCTTGAACACAGATTTCATATTTCAGGTGTAGGCATTCTCCCTGAACCACATTTACAAGGAATCTTTTAAGTTTTTCTACCCGCAACAGTAATTGACCAGATCAGCAAACATATGAGTATTTCTTGACCTTGGTGGTCTACGTTCAAGTCCCACCTGACACCACAGAGATGAACAGGTTGATTGGAAAATATAACATACAAATGGTGGATAATCAAAAAAAAAAGCCTTTTCAACCTAATGCCAAGCATTGTCCGATGAATAGGAAGGGTTAGTAACAGAAGATCATCCAGCTGTAAAACCACCCACCAGATCCAAAAAGAATGATCTCTCAGCATTGTGGCAATCCCATGTAATATGGGAAAAACTGAAAGGGGAAGCAAGCAAGCTGAGCTTTATCCTATTAAACCTACTTGAATACCGCTGGAATGAGACATATTGTTGAAGCTTTTCATCTTGTATTCATCAAAATAAATGCAAGAATGCCAAATTTTATCCAATCACAAATTTGTACCATATCAGAGGAAGGGTGCTAATCTGTAAGCAAGTCGACTCTGATTGGCAGAAGCATTGCAATGTTGAAAGCAATGGGAGACTATAGACACCAGAAACTCTCAGGTAATTTTAGAAAAGGCTCAAGGCTTGAACATGTTCCTTGTTTATAGAGAATGGCTCCCTGTGAATGTTGCTTCTAGCAATCTTCTTTAGAAATACAAGTAAACAAGCAAATTTAAAAATGTACCTGCTTGGTCATGCTCATAAATATCTAAGAGCTTGGAAAAAGGGAATGGAAAACACAAATTGGAAAACAAAATACTGGCTAGTGAGATGAAAGCAGTTTCAGAGGACAATAGTGAGACGACAAGTTGAATCAATAAACAAAAACTTGTATTCTTATGGAGTTTTATCATATTAAAACAACTCAAATGTTTCATATGGTGAAGTGACTTATTTTTCTGGAGTGCAATGACAGTTGACATGCTGATAATGCAACATCAACTCTACAACAGTACCAAGGGAGTCAAAGGTTATGTGGGGCAGACAAGAAAGTGACATTAAGAATATGGTCAGATTGGTCATGATCATTTGAAAGACAGAGAGACTTGATGGGCTGAATAGCCGACTCATACTCCTATTTCTTACATTGTTAACATTCTCCAAACAGCAACGAGATAAAGAACCTGTTTCACTGATACTGGCTGCAGAAGAACATTGGCCAGGACGGGGAGTGAACTCTGCTGAATAAATTGCTGTTCTTTAGACAATGAAATGGAACCTATAATAGCCTCCTGAAGAGATGGGTGGGGCCCTAGTTCGAGTTCTGATAAGAGGACTGTAGCCTTCAATAGGTCTACACTCCTTCACTACGAGACTGACACATCAGCCTAAATGATGCATTCATGTCATACTGCAGGGCTCGAATCCAGAATATTCTGATCCAGAAGTGTGCAACTTAAACTAACACTGAAATTATACTGGTATTGGTGCGGTGTCCATGTCACCAGCTTGTGCTGCTCTGGTCCAAAGCAACTAGTTGCAAACCCAACTTACACCTACCGACACTTTGGGATTTTTCAAGTTGTACTTTGGTGAGCTGCATTTCCACAATATGTCATTCAAATACCCCTTCCAAATCAATGTAAAAGTTACTTAACTATAATTGGTATTTTAATATAATTAAAACATTTTTTTTAAAGTCTGCTACTATCTAGTGTTCCTGGCTACAGCTACTAAATTTTACTAATACTCCAATTTAAAGCTCACAGAAACACCATATAAATAAAGTTCTATCTTTTCAATACTCACATAACTTTCTGTGCCTTGTAAACTATTTTCAGAACTTACATTTCTATTTAAATTGTAGGAACATTATTGAGTAGTTTTGGTCTGTGGCTATTTTCATGTCAGATACACTGCTGAAAAATGAAAAAGCATGAGGATTAAGGGAAATGAATCCACATGGCTCCACAAAAAAAAACTAGGATTGTCCTCTGGTGACGGTCACGCCTTCACGGGTCCCATGAATTTTTCAGTGGGACCAATGCATGAACAGATTGGGCAATGACTTCCTCACTACTAAATGGATAGAATTTGCACCTCTTTTACACCCTAAACATGCGCGTTAGACATATTAATCCCTACCCCTGCATGTTACTCACCAAAGACATCCTAAATAGGATATATTCTTAGCATTTCACTTTATTTACATACTGATTTTTTTCTTTTGCTTTAAACATTGTTGGGCAGATTTTGTTAACTAAATTGTATTATGGAAATGGTGGTAAATAGTACTATGCATGAATAAGCAACAACATTAATAAATTACTGTATTAAAACTTTCCTTCACTGGTAGATTTTTTTTAGCATAATAACTCATCTGGTACGGAATCTAAGCTTTATATAATTGATTGGGGTGTGGATCCAAAACAATTCAAGTGGTTTGAATCATTTAATTTATATGAAAACCTTGACCTTATCTGTTTCTGCTTAGAATCAGAAGCACATCACTGTCAAAATTTTGCTACTGTAACATCAAATGTCATCTTTTAGCAGAACATATCATTCCATTGTAATGAAAAACATTGTATCCAATATTAACACTTCTAACAATGAATGACTTCTACAACAACCAGTCAGTTTTGAACACATTTAAGTTAATAAATAACTAAGAATCAGATACATAGTGATAACATAGTTGAAGTGTTCAGCAGACATCAAGTTAAAATTCTAGGCTTATATATGTTAGTTGAACCCCAAAGGTTACTTGGTAATGTTTAGCTCAGTTCCTGGTATCCAGGCTTTGAAAATGTACATTTAAGGAATTTTCAAACCAGTTAGAACATTTCAAGGTTTCCAGTTTCTTTTTGGAGTGCCAAACAATTGAAATGGATGGAACTTTAATTTGGGACATAATTAATACTGGTTTATCATGAATGAGCCTGTAGTTGATTGTAGGGAAATTTCTTACAATGTACAATAGGAAGAATTCAAGTTTCAAACCATGAATATTACAGACGATGTTCTACAAACTTAAATGGTGATTGTTACAAATGAGAATTAGAGAAATGTAAAACCTCAAAACCACTTGTAAGATTTGTTTTTGGAAAAAAGTGTAATCATATTATGTTTGAGTTTGATGCAAAGAAATGCTGCTGCAGTACTCAAAATATTTAATAAGATCTCTACTGTTCAGGTTTTATTAATTATTACTAATATTAAACTATTTTAGTAAATCCCTATAAATACCTGGGAGAGGGGGCATTCTTTTGCCAGTGTGCTCTGGTTCATTTCCTTCAGTAGTTCCTTCAGAGCATTTCTGACAGTTGTATGAGTCCACTGTTCAGGTGGCAAGTCTTCCAGTTTTGGGCAGCTGCATTGTAAAATATATCACATAAAAGGAATAAAAATCAGGACATTTCAGGACTAGTTCATGATGCAACATTCCTTCAAGATAGACAGATTTCATTTGGCACATCAAGCAGATGCATCTAGAGATTGCTCTCAGTCTCCTGATTGTTCTGATTAGTTAATTACTTTATACAACACATCTGCTGTATTGATGCATGAATTATACATCAGCTGCATGTGGCGACTATTATTTCTTGTTACTTCTACCTTCTTGCTCCAATGCGTTTGGTAAAATAATTCAGGCATTTAGAGATGTGCAAGTTAAAGACAGAGATGAAATAGTAATGATGCCATGCAATTGTTGAGGCCCAGGGACTTGCATGTTGTGACTAACCTGTGTAACTGAATTTTCAGTGTGACCACATGATACACATCCTGCAGCATGTCTGCTACTGTGGCATCCGGTGCATCTGTCACATATGAGAGAGGGACTGGATTCCACTTCCCAACCTGGATCAGGCCTGTGACAGTCAATATTAAGTAAAGTAAGAAACGTCAGCTGTTAAATCACTACATGATGCTAATACTTTTAAACAGGTAATAATGTACATTTCTTAAATTATTTTGCTCTAACATAATATTATATCCCAATTCCTTCATTCTTAAGAGTAGAAAAGTGTGATAAATATGAAATTTGCATAATCAATTAACAAAAAGGAGCTAATACTCCTCCTACACTCCATCATTAACTGGGTCAAACATACTGAACAAGTGTCATTACTAGAAGTGTAACCTCTTTTGATGCACCAGAATTGAATAGCTATAAAATTCAAAGGAAAACCGAATTTAAAAAAATCTCATGCGAAAGTATTTCAAATGTTAGGGGTTTTTGCTTCAATATTATACAGCCACAAATTGTTAATAATAAGCATTAGTGATTGAAAAAATAGTTGAGCTCATTCTCCGTTTTGCAGTTTAGATATTAAGGGCAACCTAAACTTCAAATCCTTCTCCTCTCATTATAAAACATTTGTGAATACATTGTACTAAATAATAATACCTATTTTTTGTATTAATTAATAAAATAAATTAATATAATTTTAGATATAAATGCAGTGTTTTTAGTGTCAACATTAATATTTCATACTACAGATCTTATGCAAACATAATAAACACCCTTGTTTTACTAAAACTTAATATCAAAATCAAAAAGTACATTTGTTGCTACATAAAATGATTCATTTAAATTTCAGAATTCTGCACATAAATTCCACAACAATGTGAAACTGCAGTAAA